ATGATTTTACGTGGAAACCTCCTTGCTTAAGGGAGTAAAACCACGACCTGTCTCATAATATTTTCAATCGTTTTCACTAATCTTCAAAATAAAAAGTAAAACACGATTACAACAAATGTGATAAAAAGTTTTTAATCTCACATTTAAGCAATAGTCTCTATTGCTTAACAAGCCTAAGTAGAAAACAATCTACCCACTAAGCTATCCCACTTGGACAACCTAGACTTTTAATACTACCCACTGATTCCTTTATAGTTTCAGGAATAGATTACAATATAAGAACAAGAGAATATATTCTTAAATAGCTACACTAAATGCTCCAGAGATTTCTGCTGTTCTTGGAATAATTCTGTCTTTGCTTGGTAGTAGCCTTTGCAAGAGTTCTTGAAAAATTTCTTATCAAGTTGCAGAAACTACCAAAGATGTTTAGGAAAGTGTCTTTTATATGGACAAATCACTTTCCTTAAACTCTTTGCCATTGGTTGGAGAAGTCTGACTTTATGACGCCATCGGGAAGTGTACACCTAGTTTCTGCACCATTGGTAGTCAACAAGCTCGTCACCATGAGAGCCTGGTACCTCTACAAGGTCCCTGGGTTTGTTTCATCTTCAACACTCAAGTAAGAAACCTGGTACCTTTACAAGGTCCCTAAGTTTGTCAAATCATCAAAACTACAAATAAAAGAAATTAATTTGCAACCTCGGGTACTATGAGGAGATTAAATTTCTTAAGGGAACACAGTGATTTCGGTGGACTAGGATTAAAAGTTCTTTCTGTCAATTTCATCTTATTTATATTTTTATGTATTTTTTACTAACCTTAATATATATGATAACAAAGATTGCTTAATTGTTTTTTCTCATGCAAGTTTGACTTTGTTATGTTTGTTTGATAGAAAAAACATAAGATAAAAGAAAATTTGGTTAAGAAGTAAAGAAATCAAGAAATTAAATGTTATAAATATGGATTAGCTTCTTATAGACACATGAAGGGGGTTGTGGAGAAAAGTGGGTTAATGTTGTCACAATTCATACTATCTTGAGTATCCTCCGGAAAGTGGTTTAATATTGTCACAATTCATACTATCTTGAGTATCGTCCACATTAAACTAACTCGGTGAGAGGTCTAAAGACTAACTTGAAACAACCCAACAATATCAAAATAGCTCAAGTTCATCATAAACAAAGGAAAAATAGTTTAGAAATAAGAGGATTGAGTCCTCATCAACTCTATTCAACCGTTTAAACAATCATTGCGAAAAATGACCTCTAAGATTTGAAAGTCACCATACCAAAACTCTAATATAAATTAAGATGGGGATGCAACCCCGAAAGCTAAAAATATAAATCTGATAATAATGTCTTTGTCCGAAAATATGGACAAGCAAATAAGAAGAACCCACGGCAACTCGAAAGATGTATCTCACCCTATTTAGCATTTTTATTTTTGCGAAGTTTAATTTGTTCCTTACGCTTCCTAGAAATGAGTTTGTAGCTTCAAATAAAGCTTAAATTGATTAGCAGTTAAATTTCAAGTTATTATCATGTTCAATGAGAACGGAAGCATCTAAGTAATTTTCCTTGACATTTTTGTGAATTAGAGTTTGTATATATGGCGTTAATGACGTAAGGTTCGTGTCTATTCTACCCTCCCTAACCTCTCTTTCATAGGATTTCACTAGATATGTCATATATTGTTATTGTAGATTCATTATGACAAATTTTTATTTTATAACATTCATGATTTTATGAACTTTATTTAGTCACCTGGGTAATTTTAAAAGTGGTAAGCTCCTAACTATAAACTTAAATTAGGAAAATTCCAACAAAAAAACACCATTTTTAACCTTTAAGCTATTCACTGTGACGGCACAAATACCATTTTTGTACAGAAATATAGATACTTATTCTCAAAAAAGTTTTAAAAAGCTAAACTTAAAAGAACAAATTAACATGGGACTCAGTCACATTAAAAAATAAAAGTTTTCTATAAGAATTTTCAAATAATAAACCAGTGATGCATACGTCTAAAAATCTTTGTATTTGTAAATCTTTGTATTTGTAAATGTATGGTATAAGCAATGTTTGCAATATGCAAAATTTTGGGTATAAAATAATATTTACATTTATTTATTAAATTAGGTAAGTTATATACTCCCCATTGATTTTACCTGGATTTTTGGGCTAATATCATCTCTCAACTTGAATCCAAACTTAGAGCTCATTCTTATGATATAATTATGAACAAAAAGTATCATTTAACTATCCTAAACTTTGCAATAAACATCTTCTTGGGGAGCAAGCACATACACAATATCCTAAACGTGTCCTTATTTTTATTTTGGTACTCCATCTTAACTTTTTTCCATTTTAACCCTTAAATTTCATTTTTATGTACCATTAAAACACAAAATACTTTTTTATCATTATTTATTTATTTACTAGGTATAATTAGCCGTGTTCTCATGGGATTGAACTATGTTATTATTATGTTATTAAGCTCACATTGATTATTCGGTAATATTCAGATTTTCGATATAGACACTACATTGTCAAGATCATTTTATCTTAAGGGAATTCAAAATATTAAAAGTGCTATATCTTATTTTATTTTTATCTTCTTATACAAAATTATGACTGATATAGTTACTTTAAGTATAAGAAAGACGTATACAAAATCTCCATGGAAATAGTTGGTCAGAAGTAATGAAACTTTCTAAATTGCAAGAGTTTAATAATGAACAACACCAGACATTAAAGAAGAGATCAAAAGACCTCGAACAACAACACTCTCTAGTAAAGTGGAACGTCACGTTCATACAAGAACATAATTCACTAATTCAAATGGAGGACCTTCGGCTCCTTTCTTATGATCCTAAAATTTTTAGTATCATAAATATTTTTCCTCATCGTCTCAGAATAGTCACTACTATTGCTTAGGTTTATATCACCAGCCTAATTTGGAATTGAACCATAGTTATTGTTATTGAACTAGATATTCCTAACCAAAACTTCTACACATATCACATTAAAATCTCAAAGCATAATTTTCTAATTGCTTGAACTCAAAAATTTTCATAAAAAATAATAAAGACAACCTTACTTTCCTAACAATCAAGAAGAAAAACACATATTGTTTAACATATTTTTGACAGAGATAGTCTATCAGACATTATCCAAGTATATAGTTCACAAATTTAATTGAAAGAAGCCAAAAGAAAGAATTATTACTTCGTTATCAAAAAGCATAAAACAAAACTTGATCAAAAGAAAGAGTTATCACTGCGGCAAAAATGATCTTTAGAGACAATAATAAATGTCCCTGGAAAAAGTCCATAGCAATATTGAATGTGATGAAAATTGATTAGTGTAGGTAAAGACTCTAGCACTCTTCATTTTTGTGCATATTCATTGCCGATAAAAAATATTTTTGTTTTAGTGTATTTTGGACATTTATTTGTTTCAAGAAAACTTGATCTCTTATTATGCCTAAAAAGAAGAGACAAAGAAATATAACAAATAAGTTAACTTGGGATAAAAGAAGCGCACTAATAGTCTCTATACAAATATTCTAGGAAGGGTGCAATGACATATAAAATGTTTGTACCTAAGAATGAGCAATAAAAACTAACTGTGGCAAAAAAGAGCAATCTATTTGGTTCTTTTATTTAACTTCAGCATTTATTGTGTATCAGCTATCACATATTTATTGTTCTGTGCTATTAAATATAACACAAATCACAAGAAATTTTCCCAAAAAGTAAACGAAAAAAACATCAGAAAGAGACAAAAAAAGAAAATAAATTTTCAATCATCCTCACTGAAACTTTTAACTAAGTTAAAAAAAAGACACGAAAATATAAAAAAGAAATTGCAATACATACATGAATTACTATGATTTATACTAAAAGATTAAACTTTATTACATTGCAGAAAGAAAACTTTGAGAAATGAAACACACTTCATAAGACGCTTAATTAATGTATTTAAATTTAACTCACCTATAGCGAAAAAAATGTACAAATAATAATGACAGAAATAAATGTTTTGTTAATAAAGAACCAAATAGTTAATTGAACCATTTCAGCAATTTTGTGAGTTGCGGACTGAGAGGTGCAAGAGTAGTAACGTCACACTGCAATTAAAACCATTTTCTTTGTTTATAGGAATCACCCTGTAGGAAGGGAAGAAAAGAAGATCGATTTTTAATCATCCTTGCTGAAATTTTTCACAAAATTTAAAGAAGGTCACCAAAATAGTAAAAAAAAATTGTCATAATTACATAAATAACTATGACTTATAGTAAAGATTAATCTTCATGCCGTAGAAAGAAGAAAAATGTAAGGAATGAAACAAACTTCATAAGAAGCATGATTAATGAATTTGATTGCGACTGCCCTATAACGAAAAAAAGCTACAAATAATAGTGCAGAAAATCCTTCTATTTATATTAAAGAAACTGTAGGTCACAGCTCTTTGGAAAAGTCAAAACCCTTCGGAAAGGTGACAACCTTAGATAAAAGTCACAACTTTTCATGAAAGCCGCAACTCTTCATATAAGTCGTAACTCTTCCTAAAAGTCACAACTTATTATAAAAGGCGCAACTTTTCATAAAATCATAACTTTTCATAAAAGTCGCAATTTTTCAAAAAGTCACAACTTTTCATGAAAGGAGAAAGCTAGTTTTGGTTACACCACATAGGGGCTTCTAGGTTTTTCCTTTATATATATATATATATATATATATCCTATATATCCATATTTAGAATAGGGAGTTGAGAAGGACTAACACACTCCAAAAAGTAAATTTCAATTGAGTACAACCGAACATGTAGCCTTTCACAATGACACGTATGAATAAATACAGGACAACTGGCTAAGGATATTGTAGGAGCTCGTGACATCTGTTTTTCCACTATGATACATTCTTGTTCCTTTCTACAAACAAAGAGCTTTAAGTAAACATGCCCACTGAAACTCATGTTACACTAGGTATGCAATTCCGCTTGCTTTATTTCTTTGTTCTCATTTTAGTTTTTGTCGATTTTTTCATTTGATAGGTTTGGATGAAGTTTTTTTTCAATTTTGGTATTTGGGTTTGGCTAATGTTGCAGGCATAAAATTTAAACTTGATTAGATGTTGTTATGGTCGTCATTTTCTCCTTCTCTTCTCTGTCGTCCCCTGTTTACATATTTGTATTTCAATTCTTAGTTATTGAAGTGCAGTGTTTCTTATGTAGATGTTTTTTCAATTTGTTAAGTTTTTCAGGTAGGTCATTGCATATACCTTGAGAAAAAAGGAAAGGAAAGAATTTGAACAGATGAGATGTTGGGAACATCGAGTTCTCTCTACTCTCTTTCTCAATTATATATATGTAATTTTCCTTTCCTTTGATAAATTGAGCACCAATACGTGAACTTGAATCCCCAATTTAGGTTACTTTTGAAATGGTTTCTACATGATTTTGATCTTATATAAACCTATTTCTATAAATGACTGTGACAGAGGACCTTTTATCTTAGAAAAAATATTCTATACCTCTTCCCAGTAAATACAGAGAAATACTCAAAATTACATGTCACGTATGGGTATGTAAACAAAGCAACAAATTTATACTGGTCAAATGGCATTATCACTTAATATTCTCTCCAATGCTTGAATCAGCTTTGGAGAAATCACTTCAATTCGGCATAATCGACTATTTCTAGTACGAGAGACAACTCTTTCTCAGTTGAGTATGTCTGCTCAACCAACTCTACAAGAATGTTGGAAAGAAATTGAAATCTTACAAGTGTTTGCTAAGGTAAATATTTATTTTTGGTATGTCAAAATAGGAAAGTCATATCTCTTATAAAATATTTTCTTCTCAAAATAGGAAAGTCATATTTTCTTGTTATATGTGAAGATCCATTTTTTTTGGCTCATCCATCAGTTGAAATGTGTGTCCATTTCTCGAATGATTGATTGCCTCTCTAAATTGTTTGACATTCCTCTTGGTTTTGTTAAACCTTTTAGTCAAATGTCTTTCTTGTGTCATGAAAAATGGTGAAATAGTTTAAAGTTTGAAACTTAATTTTTTATTTGCAACATCATATCGTGTAATCGGAACCTCATATTTTCCTCCTCAAGGTAGGAATAAGGTCTACGTACTCTCTACCCTCTAAGAGGGCATTTATGAGACCACACTGATTTTATTGTTTTGCTGCAAAAACATACATGAATGCAGTAAAGTTAAACAAAAACAATGTGTAAATGGGCTTCCATTGTAGTGTGAAGTCACAAACATGGAAATACATTAACCAAAGAGCAAAGGGAAGCTAGAGTTTTATAGTATCACAAACACACACCAAAGATAAGGATTTCTTGATTATATTTTATATGAATGTCATTAACATTGCTCATATTAAAATGTCAAAAGTCCAAGTCTAAATTTCATCACCGGCTTCTGTAAAACATACTTTGAGCTGATAATTCGAGAGTATGGTTATTAATTTGTGGTTTATAGATTAATTTTACTTTACAAAGTCTTGCAACTTGAATTAGGTTTTTTGAATTTACTTATGAAAGACGTATGAGTTTTAACTTCAAGTACTATAGATTTTGACTTAATGATATTTTTATATTTTTAAATATATTTTTTATTCTGTTATTCTACTTGTGAGTTACATTTTTGGGGGCTATTTGAGTGACCCATAATTTTGTGGACGACTCTGGTTGTCTAGATTTGGCTAAACCAAAGAAATAAATTGAATTTATTGAGGAGTAACTTGAGACATTTTATGTATGTGATTACTGATGTATACAATGTGTATGTAATATATATGTGATTAATTTCCGGCAGATAAAACTCTTCTATGTTGAGAAAAGAAATGTCAATATCAAATGAGCCGCAAGAGTTTTGTGTGCGTGAATGCTCATGCTGCAAACAAAAGAAGCGTAGAAAGGATAAAAAGGATTTTGAGTACCCAAAATGTAAGCGGAAGAACATTAGTGCCTCAATACTATCTTTTTGTCTTGTAAATTATACTTTGTGAAAAATATAGCATAATATTTATACCTAAATATTAAAATTTCCATGGTTTCAGGCGCATCTTGGAAATTGATCTTATTGATGGCACTCCTTCGGCTACAACATCCATTTCTGATTTATTGGGAGAAACATCATTCTCCGTGACAACAGAAAACATATTTGACATAATTTGCATTAAGGTGAACTCTTATTTACAGATATCATTCCTACTTTGAATGTTTTTCTGCTAGCTACTTCTACACCTCTATTGTTGCAACACCATCTGTCCTGATCAGAAATAGTTTATAGCATATTTATGCTTATTTCTACAAATTCTCTAAATGACTCTTTATTTTTTTCAGAAGCAATTGTTGTATCTTAACCATTTCCATAAGATGTGTCAAATAAACTATTTCAAATTCAGCTAAGGAAATTATCTTGGGACAACTCAAATACCATACATACAACTTTGTTAGTTCTTTCCTATGTGCAAAAAAGAACACTCTTCCGCCCAACACTATTAGGAGGGATTCCAAAATGATCAAGCCTCTATAGATCAGTGAGGTGAGAAACAGAAAACAAGTATTGCATCTGATTTCTCAAGTGAGAAGCTGAAATATGAACCATTCACACTAACAAAAAAAGGTGTAAAAGGTCAGTCTACACTACCAAATTAAAAAAGGGTTGCATAACGACGATTCTCATCCTTATTTTAGACAATTCTATTTTTTAAATATCTATATAAGATTCATAATATCACGTTTGACCTCAAACTACACATAAAGACAACCAAATAGATTCATATTGATTGTTATGACATCTGGTATAGGAACACAACAAGTAGCTTTAGTAACCTTATTTTTTTGTCCATCCATTTGAATTTTGTAGTAAATGTTATTGTCTCCTTTCTTAGAGTGTTTAGAGGTTGATAAAGAGGGATTGACAAGAAAATTGCATTTTTACAAATTGTTTTGGTGCCTAAAATTCTAAAAAGATTTAGTCTTGGTTGGAAATTTGTGTTTTTGTTGCTGTTGTTTTGCCTGTTAGAACAATTTTCAGCGTTTAAATTGATTCAGAAGAGTGTTTGAAGGTTGGGAAAGAGATATTAGCAGTATAAAGTTCAGAATTATCGTGAAGATTTCATTTTTTACGAAGCGTAGTATTACTTTAAATGTTTTTGGATGGTTTATTCTTTTGCTTATTATTTCTTGGTAATTTTGAACTATATGTATCTGTTCTTTACCATTTTCGGGGCTCTTTCAAGAGAGATTCTTACTTTAGTTATTATGTCAAACTGATTCAAGTCCTCAAAGAACAACATGAAAGAGATCACTACTATCTTTTAAATTGTTCAAGGGAAGTGTTTGGGGTAGGAGGAATTCAGAATTAATTTTCCTTAGATTCTTTTTTATTCTTTTCTTTTAAGTAATTAACTATTTATATAGCTGATCAAATGAAAGTGGTTATTATCTCAAACTAATAACAATTATCAACCTAACACTGGATGGACATCATATTATCCGTATTTCGATCATCATGCGAGACTGAATAGAGTAAAAGGTCAAAGAAAGATCAAGTGTTTTAGTTTTGCTTGGACCTCTTAGCGTTGCATATAAAGGCAACTTCTGTAGCTCTCTACTTTATATCCTTGACTCAGTTCGAAGACCTTTGATTTCAGTGTTTCAACCATTTTGAGCACTTTGAGTTGATCGAGACTTTCCCGGGATATGTTGAATATGACATCTCAGATGTTGCTTCCGGCCAGCATATTCCCCAGGTGCTCCTCTTTTACCAGTGTATGATTGTAATCCCATAGTACTATGGATATACTATTATGTGCTTCATATTTTCAGTTTCTTACAGACTTTACACTTTCATCAGAAATTACCTCGACTTTTCAGGTTTACTAAACATTTTTCTCAGGTTCCTCGAAGCTATGTTTTTTTCAATGCAGAAGAATAGCTACTAAAAATTATACTCTTAGACTCCAAATATTACATCTGCTAAATTATGAAATGGGCGTGCTCTATGTCAAAACTAAAACATCTGCTGTATCTTTTGGATGTATAACATTAGTTCATGTTTGCAGATCGCTTAAGTAGACACCATACTGACATCAGTTGTACATATACTGAATATTTTTAATAGTATGATATCAACCATTTTTGTCGTAGTCTTACTCTTGCGTCATTAGTATTTTCATAAGCATAATAAGCACATAGCTGCTTCACTGAAGAAATTTCAGCTATATCAGTTTGAATATTGGGCCCGTGCTTTAAATTTTTAAAAATTATTTCATTAAATAGTAAAATATTGTTATTTTATTTTGTGAAATAATTTGGAAGTAGTTTTTTACAAATAAACAAGAAATAATTTTTTTAAAAAACTTTTTTTCCTAAAACTAAAATTTGGTTACTATTCTTCAAATTTGAAATTGAAATTTACTGTTTTGAAATAAAAATTAAAAAAAAAAAGGAAACTGAAAATTTTGGCAAGTAATTAGGGTTGTTCAAAATTGAATCGAAATTGATAAGCCGAATTGATAAAAAAGTTATTTATTTATAGTATTGGGCTATTGCTTTTGATAACGGTTTTAATTTTTTTTGTTATCGGATTATCGGTTCTTAACGGTTTAAAGTTTTTTCTTAACGGGTTAATTAATAACCCGATAGTAAATTGAATAATTATATTTATTCCATTTTGTATATATTCTCGATTTAGAGTTTAATTTCGTACTTTTATAATCGTCTCAAACACTTATTTATTTTACAATGTAAAAGTATTCGCTTTTGAACAAGATGTAACTTATAAATTCAAATGCATGGTTTATTTGGTTTATCATCTTGTTTCTAAGTGATTTTCAATATTTATTCTTTTGTATCAAATCTTAACAGTTAAATCGATAACCGAACCGATAACGATAAAAAACCGATAAACCAATAATCGATAAGCCATATTTTAATGGTTTTATAACACAAGGGATCCTATTTTTGTCATAAATAAGAGAAAAAAATGTTATGTGTCAGCATCACAAAATTAATGAATAGATTAAATAATAAATGACAGTTTAAGAAATGAAACATTCTTTTAAAGAAAAACATAAATTGAAAACAGTTTTTTTTAAAAAAAAATTACGTTAAGAAAAATATTGATTTTTTCTCTGTTTTTAATAATAATTAATTAATTTATAATAATAATAATAATAATAACTAAATCGTTAGAACCAATTAAATTCTAAATTAATTATAATTTTCAAATTAAATATTAAATATATACTTATTAAGAGATCTATTTAATTGTTTGAATTTTTTATAATTAAAATTACATAAATCATAAAAAAAACGTTTTTAATATTTTAAAGTAATCAATTGTGTGAAGAAATACCACAATTTTATTGGAAATATCAAATTCTAAAAAATCATTTTCAAGCATAGTAAAAAACGATTTTGCTTTTCTTTAAAAAAAATTACAATTTAAAAAGATAAGTTAGAATTTAAAATTTACTATTATAGTTAAAACATAAAGTGGTTAAAAATGGTTCTAACTTTTTTATTTTATCCTCTTACCAATATTTATAGATAATATCTATTTATATATATAAAAGGAGAAGAAGAAATGTCACATGTATCAGCACCAAAAAAAATTATTTTTTTAAATACTTAAAAATGATAATTACATATAATAGAGTTAGGTAACACATAAATATTTTATTTTTAAAATAGTGTCTGAATTTTTATGTTTTTTTTAATTGATTCTTTTGCCGTTTCTTTTTTTAAAAACATTTGTGATATTTCATAATCATAGATAGTTTATCTATTTAATTATAATTTTAAATAGAGTTTCTATATTATTTTATTAAAAGAAATCAACCATCAGCAAAAAAAAAAAGGTATGTATAATAATAATAATGCATAATAATAATGATAATAATAATAATAATAATAATAATAATAATAATAATAATAATAATAATAATAATAATAATAATAATAATAATCTCTCTCTCTCTCTATATATATATATATAT